GGGGGCGGGGGTGGGGGCAGGCTGCAGGCCCCTTGACCGTGGCGCCTGCGCTGCTCCCAGGTACAGAAGCCGAGGACGTGCTCGGGGAGCTGGAGTACGAGAAGGTGCCATACTCCTCATTGCGGCGCACCCTGGACCAGCGCCGGGCCCTGGTCATGCAGCTCTTCCAGGACCATGGCTTTTTCCCATCAGGTGAACCTAGCTCAGCGTCTTCGGGGGGCACTTGGAGAGGACCTGCCTGCTCCTCTCATCCTCCTCTCATCCTTCTGTCCCCAGCCCAGGCCACGGCAGCCTTCCAGGCCCGCTACGCAGACATCTTCCCCTCCAAGGTCTGTCTGCAGTTGAAGATCCGCGAGGTGCGCCAGAAGATCATGCAGGCGGCCACTCCCACGGAGCAGCCCCCTGGAGCCGAGGCCCCCCTCCCCGGACCGCCCCCCACTGGCACTGCTGCTGCCCCTGTCCCCACTCCCAGCCCTGCTGGGGGCCCTGACCCCACCTCACCTGGCTCGGACTCTGGCACAGCTCCGGCTGCCCCGCCACTGCCCCCACCTCCAGAGCCGGGTCCCGGACAGCCTGGCTGGGAGGGCCCCCCCCAGCCCTCCCCCCCACCCCCCGGCCCCTCCCCAGCTGCCACAGGCAGGTGAGGGGTCCGAGAAGATCCCAGGACCCACAGTACCCCCCTCAGGACATGGACAGTATGTAGGTGGCAGGAATGGGGGGGGCAGGATGGTTACGTCCTCCCCACTAAAAGCCATTTCGTCCTTTCTAGTTTGGGGCGGAATGAGGCCTGCTCCTCTTGTCTATCTCCCCTCCCCCCACAGCTTTCTCCCTGTGATGGGGGGCAGCTGAGGGGAAGCAGGGGCACAGTCTCCCTCCACCGAGCCCCTGTATATAACCTGGAGTGTGTTACCTTCAGACCTTTTCACTTGTACTTTATGCAAAATGGCTCATGTGAGGGCTACAAGCTGGAGGGTAGTGCGGGCCTTGGGCCACAGGGAGGTGCCTGTGGAGTAGGGGGGAGTTCATGCACCCCTTTTTTCCCCAGAGGGGCTGGACTCAGGTTAGTTTGGGGTGGGGGCTCCTGCACTTTGCCACAGGCATGGGGAGGGTTCTCTCCCCACCCCCTCTGCCCTCCCAACTTGGGTTGTACTTTCTAAGAAGGTGATTCCCCCTACCCTTGTCCCTGTCCCCAGAACAAAACATGTTGATCATGTGCAATATTTCTTACTGTGCCGAGAAGCCGAAATGACCGAAATTAAAGCTGTTTAACACACCTGTGTGGCTGCCCACTCTAGAGGGAGAAGGGGTGTGGGTGTGCTGGTCCTGTCCCCAGATGGGCAAGGAGCTATACACTAGCTATATGCTCCCCCCCCACCTCACTGGGGGGAGCAATTCCAGGACCCACCCTCCCGACACTGCGGGCGGAGGACCCGGGCTCACCGTGGACCGAGCAGCCTCTCTCCAGCCCTGGTGCTTGGGGCTCACTATGCCTACTCTCCTTCACAGCCATCCAACAGGAGGGCGTTAGGGGAAGGGGTCAGGTGAGGTGCTACAAGAAGGACAGTTCACCCTCGAAGTTCCAGCTGGACCTGAGAGGTCTGAGCCTCAGTGGTGCAAGGCAAGGGACAGTGCTGTTCTCAGTGATTCCTGCTGCCCCCACATGGCCTGAGCCAGCACTGCAGCCAGGCCCACTGGAGCTTCTCCAGGGTCACATCCCTCATGGCCAGCCTGAGGACCGTGGCCTGTGTGGAGGGAAGGCTGCTTGGGATGGGAGGGTCAGGAAGCTTCTGCAGGAAGTGGCATCTAAGCTAAGACCAGAGCACCAGAAGTTCCAGCCAGGGGAAGATCTGCAGCAAAATGGGGAGGGCAGCTTTGGACGGGCTTTGACTGCTGGGTCACTATGTTCCCAGAATTCTTACTTAACCTCGACCGTCTAGGGTAGTGTTGGCAAACTGGTTTCGCCGAGTGTGTTACCGATGGGCAGTGCCTGCGTGCAGCATTCCTGATGGTAGAAACCTGCCAGACTGTGCAAGAACCAGAGTGCCTTGATGGATCGGCGGATGCCTGCTTCGGGCAGAAACAGGACACCCCCCAGAGCGTCAGGGTCGCAGAGGTCAAAGTTGAGGTGGAGGGACCCAGAAGGGCTGGGCCATAAAGCAAGAAACGGGAGACTGAGGAACGAGAATTTAATGTCGGGGAAGGAGGATGCTTAGGGTGCAGCCTCTGGCAGGGGAACCCCCTGGCCCTGGTCTTGGGCCAGCAGACGCAGAAGCAGGGAGTGCAGGGCCCGACAGACAGGTGTGTAGCCCAGGCGGCTCAGATGCAGGTAATCGTACATGTCATGGTGACTTATGGTACCGTCTGAGTGCACAAAGCCGGGGTCGGCATCCAGGAAGTGGGCCCGTGGGTGGCCAGCCAGTGCTGCCCGGACCAGCTCGTTCACCCGTCGGTTTTTCTCACGGAGTGGGTTAGGGTGCTGGCCCCTCGGAAGCAGGCCCTGAGGAAGGGCACCAAGAGTTGTGAGGAGACATCCTACCCGCATCTGGGTATCCTGTGCTCTGGGCCAAACCGTTCCCCCTCACCACGGAGTCCCCAGCTGTGGAATACACTAGGGATGGGAAAGCGGGGGGATTGGCAGGATGATTCCCGATACCGTGTCTGAGACCCCAGTTCAGCAAGAACCTTCTGGGTGCCAGCCCCTTGCCAAGTATCAATCCTAAAAATGTCAACAGCGTGGCAAAGGGTCAATCCCTCTTTCTGAGGAGGAAAGGTTCTGGCCCGAAGTGATGGAGCCTGGATTCACCCTGGGAATGCCTGACGACTTCTGGCTAATTGTTTTGAGTTTTGCAACACCCCCAGAACCTTCAGCAGTTTCTTGGGCAAAAGAGGCTAACTGGTCCCTGAACGTGACCTTAACTACAGCCGCTGGGTGTGTAGCAAGCCTCGATGTGAGCTTTTGCCTGAAAGTCACTTCTCTGCTGCCATGCTGCCCAGAACCAGCTGCAGCTGCACCTGAGGGGGTCCCGGACCACCGCCTTTCTTTCCTCCCTGACCTCCCACCACCTCACCAGCACCACGACCCGGGCCTGGGGCTGCCGTTGGTTCACCAGTTGCACAATGGCCTGGATGCCACCAGTCACTTGCTCCGCTGTGTGCCCGTGGTTGTTGGTACCCACCCAGACCACCACGATCTGTGGAAAGAGAGGCGGGAAGCAGTGGTAAAGGGGGAGGCCTAGGGTGCTTTCGCTGCCCACCCAAGCTCCGCTCACCTTGGGCCGGATGTGTTCCAGCTCTCCATTCTCCAGCCGCCAAAGCACATGTTGCGTGCTATCGTTGCCAATGCCAAAGTTAAGTGCGTGCAGAGGAGAGAAGAGCTCCCGCCAGATCTGTAGACAAGAAGGGGTGTGGGCACAGGGGCGTTGGCAGCAGGGACCATGGCCCTCTGTCCGAGCGTGCACCAAATGTCAGCACGGAAGAGCCCTGCCTTATGGAAGGAGTCTGGTCAAAACCTCACTTTATGCAAACCTAGTATAGTCTCCCTTTCCCGGAGCCCCACAGAAGCAAGACTCACTTTATGGAAACCCACTGGGCTTGAGTCACGCATTGAACCACTAGCCTTACAGCTGATGAAAGCCTCTATTTACGGTTTGACCTCACTCAGTGGAAAGATAACATAATTGCGCCCCCTTTGTGGAGAGCTATTACAGCTGACTTTCACTTCGTGCAAACACTGCAGCTTTGTGGCCATTCACTAGGGCTGTGCACTCCCTGAAGCAAACAATAGAGTCTCACCTCAGGCAATCTCGCAAGAAAGCCTCAATCTGACAAAGATTGGTCACACAGTTCCTTCTCAGTACAATGTTGCCCCTTACGTGGGGTGCTGCCTGAGGCTACTTCGGGGAACCTCATACTCTGGGCTGGGGTCTGATCCAGGTGTGTCAGTGAGGGCAGAGGCCCGGGTGGGGCAGGGGGACGGGGACGGGCCTCACCTCGCACTGGTGCATTAGCTGGACCAAGGAGTCCCCGATGAAGACCACTTCGGGTTCCTTATCTTTGCTGTCGGCCACGAACCGATGGTGCTTTGAGGACGTACAAGGGGCAGTGAATGGCACGCGCGCTCCTGGGCCCGCCCCGCTCCGCTTCCTTAGGCAGCACCGCCCCGACTGCCCGGTTTCCTAATCGCGTACAGAGAGCGGCGCCACACAGCTGCTCTCCTGAGGCCCCTCCCGAGGACTCCCGAGTATCGCGGGCCGGGTCGCTCACCAGGGACATCCAGCGTCCGTCGCCCTGCACGTCCTGCACCGGCGTGGGCTTGCTGGCTGGGTTCTCCTCTCTGCTCATCTTGGCGCCGCAGCTCCTGCAGGATGGGCGAGCGAGGCCGACCCGGGAGAGTTGGCCAAGGAGGTGGCTCCGCCACGCCCACCCCTCCCTTCCCGGCAACAATGGACGGTCCCGACGCCCGCACTCCAGCGGGGACGACGGCCGATCCCGGGCGCCGCCTCCTCTGCAGGAGCGGAAACCTTCACTTAGAAGGGGAGACGGAATCGGGAACACATGCTTCCCCCGCGGTGGCCGCGCAGTGGACTCGTCCAGCGCTTCCCGCCCGGGCCTCTCTCTCTCTCTCTCTCTCCTTCTCTCTCTCTCTCTCTCGGGCGGCGGCCGCTAGCGTACTGGGGCACCTGGGGACGGGGAGGCGAGACCATCCAGCACCCGTGGGGGAGGGAGAAACGACCACATCGGTGTCAGGGGGAGGGGCGAACTACCTGAAAGGCAGAGAGTGGGGGAGGGGAATCTAGAGCCTTTTCTGGTAGGGGAGAAACCATTTGCTATAGGGCGAGAAATGTGCGGACGGGATCACCAGGTTGTGTGTGTGTGTGATCACCAGCTGTGTGTGTGTCTCATTCACGTGGTGGGGGGAGAGGAGTGAGTGGAGGGACGGGTTCACCAGGTGTGTGTGTGTGTGTGTGTGTGTGTGTGTGATCGCCAGCTGTGTGTGTGTCTCATTCACGTGGTGGGGGGGGGACGGGAGTGAGTGGAGGAGTCCATTCCTGGATCCCTTGAGGGGGTGGCTCGCACGCACCTGGCTAGGAGGGGACGCTCCCATCTTCTACTGACGTGGGGAGAAAAAAGGAAGATGGCAAAATGTGAAAAATAGAGCCTCAGTTGTAAGCCTCAGGCTAAGGCAGCACCAGGACTTCAGTGAGCTTACCTGCTCGTGCCCCCACCCCAGCCCCCCTCTCAAAAGCACCAGTGTTTGTGGCATAAGATCTAAACTACATAGCTTTGCATTACATACATCACAGGCAGCTGCAAAGAAGGCAGCAGAAGGTGCAGAAAGAGAAAGGAAACTCGAGATGCTTCAAGGCCTAGGTCCAGCCTGGCGCCCCTCCCGCCCAGCTCATCTTGCAGATCCGTGGCCTCCATTCCCCCTCCTAAACCCACAGGTGTGTCTGGGCTCTGAAACCTACATCCATAGCCAAGGCCACCTAAGGTCGCCCCCCCAACACCCCATATTAATCTGAAATCTCAAGTCTTCCCAGCTCTTCCTGTTCTCAGGGACCAGGTGGCGGCGGGGGGGGGGGGGTCCTCTACCCCCTAAACTTCCTGGTTATATTCCTGAAGCTCTACTCCCAGATGAGACCTGCCCGTCTATTCATTCTTTCTGGGTAGGTTGATACTGAGATAGTCTTATTTATCATGTTAATGTTTTGCCTCCATCCACTGGCCTAGAACAGGGCCTGACTCATAGTACCAAGTACCATCACTGCTCACAAGAACTTGAATGAATATTAAATGTATGGGTCAGATCCTGGCCTTGTCCCAGCGTATTGGGGAAGACAGATCAGACAGACACAGAGCTGGGAGAAGGATCGAGGCTGTGATTAAGAGAAGTAGAGAAGGAGGAGGAAGAGAAGGACTCTGAGGGTGACGGGTTTCCCAGTAGTATTTGAGTTAGGCTTTGAAAAATCAAGAAGACTGGGTAAGCAGTATTACACAGGGAATATAGCTTATTGGGGGGGGGGTGCCTGGGTGACTCAGTCGTTAAGCATCTGCTTTCGGCTCAGGTCATGATCCCAGGGTCCTGGGATGGAGCCCCGCATCGGGCTCCCTGTTCAGCGGAGAGTCTGCTTCTCCCTCTCCCACTCCCCCTGCTTGTGTTCCCTCTCTCGCTGTCTCTCTGTCAAATAAATAAATAAATAAAAATCTTTATATCTATATCTATCTATATATATATCTATATATATATCTCTTATTAGGGCATGGGGAATACTC